AGCGCCGTGCAGCGTCGTGCTAGAAGCCAGTAACAGCTCCAACAGGTGCAAGGCGTGCCGTTTTGAAACAACAGGGGATCCCGCGAGGCGCCGGTAGCGTTCGCGCTGCACGGTCGCAGCTGCTGCAAGGCGAGGAGGGCTGTACGCTTTCAAGCTTAGTTTCTCGCCTTGCGCACAGTCGTTTCGAAATCTTGCAGCAGGTATTTGGATGGAGGGCGGTGCGCTTTCAAATTTGGGCGCAAGAGACCTGCAGGCGGAGCGTGAGGCTCTCACTTTTGAGAGTGCCATGAATCCAACAGCCAGAAACGAAACTTGCGCAACAATGGCACGCGAGGGGGACGGCTTCACTTTAACACGGGGATCTCGCTGGACACCTCCTTGGGCTCCACGAGTCCACAAACACAGCGCTTGCACTGAGGGGCTCTCGCCGAAAGAGTTGGACGGGTGTGTCGAGGCTTCGACAGGGTTTGCCTGTCGTAGGCGCTTTGTGTTAGCAAGCAGCTCACGGAAGCTTTTGGTTGTCTCCACGGCGCCCAATAGCGAGATCAATCGTGAGCAAAACAGACACTGCATCTCCCTCGCATGAAGCCGTTGGGCGCTATTGGTCGCTATTGGGTGCTTCTTGAAACTATGCGAGCGCTACTGGGCGCCAGTCCTATCTGGCGCTGTCGAGCGCTGTATGGCGTTCTTCACCGGTATACATGCGACCGAAGACGAGCGGAAGCTTCCGTGACTTGCTCTCTCACTTCGTGTACTGGAGAACCGTGCCGAAATTTCGCCACGTTTGGAGATCTAGTGACCCGGGTCAATCCAAACCCGGGTCGGTCGGGCCTGGAAGGATCCTGGCACGCAAGCCCGGGTCAGTCCACCCCTGGCCCTGCAGGGTTCTGCCAGATCCAGCGCCCTGGCTGACCCCCGCTTGCATGTATCCCCGTCCCGTCGTAATTTTTGTCGCTGCGTCAGACGTCAAGACCCCTTCGCGGGACCGGTTTCTTGTCCCGAATCGTTGTTGGACGGTCCCGAGGCCTGGTGAGGCCCCCCAGAGGACGAAAAAGGGAAAAACCTCCCGCGATGCACTGGCGCGGTCGACGGTGCATCGGCGACGTCGGCGTGGAGAAAATTGGGCCCGACATCGAGCCGCATCGCAGATGCAACGCCGATGCATCGCCGATGTGGCACGATCCTCCGACCCCGTCTACTCCGACCCCCTCTAGGAGGCCTAGAATTACGCAGCTTGCACCATGTTTGGGCGATGGCAGGACTGGATTTAGCGGAACCTGGTCGAATGATCTGTATCGGGGACGCCCTCTCCCCGTCCCATTCCACTACCCAGCATTGCCGTCACCCGAAAAAAAGACCGGCAACGGCAGACCTGGTTTAATGACTCTGGCCAATTTAGGGGTCTCCGGGACCCTACTGCTAACTGGGTCCCCTTCCTTGGGGTCCTGGCTATACCCGACACGTGGCCTGCACCACACAGCTTGCACCACTTGGCGGCGCGAACAAGGGGGGTAGGGGGAGGGGGGAAAGCTTCCTAGAAGGAGGCAGCTTCTTAGAAGCCGCAGGCCTTACATCTATAGACAAGCAGGGGTGCGTCTAAGAAGCCTTCCCCCCTCCCCCAACCCCCCTTCTGCGCGCCGCCAAACCACATAGCGTGCACCGCAAGCATTTCAACGCACGGCTTGCGCCACGTAGCCTGCACCGCATCACTGGCACCACAGAGCTTGCACCACCTTGCTTGCCCCATGCACCTTGCGCCACATAGCTTGCACATCAGTGTTTGCACCACACAACTTACACCGCATGTTCGCCACCGTGCCTCTGGGCACGGAGTAGGGGTGTCCTCAGTTCCTTTGCCTAATCCCTGTAGCCTCAGTCTTCAGTCCTGAGGAGTCTGTAAGGAGCCCAGACCCCAAATTCCTAAATCTCTTGGGGCTTCCCGCGCGCACCCTGGGGTTCCCCGCATCTTGTCGCATTACTTTTTCGGGCCCAAGATGGCCTTCAAATCGGCCAAGACGGTCCAAGGAGGGTCCCAAGAGGCCCCGAAGACAGTTCAAGATGCCCCCGAGGCGCCCAATGATCGTTCCAAGACGTCCAAGACGGGCACAAGAGACCGCCAAGACGCCCCCAAAGGCATCCAAGAAGCCGCCCAAGAAAGCCCCGATAGACCATAAGCATTGACTTCTCTCGGGTTTTACCAGATGTTGGCCTTCTCGCCTTTTCGGCATCTCGACGCTCCAAGACGGCCCAAAAATCCCAAGACCGCCCGAAGACGGCCCAAGACGCCCCCAAGAGGTCCCCCAAACGGCCCAAGAGGGCCCCCAAGGCAGCCCGAGAGGCGCCCATGACGGCACAAGAGGGTCCCCACACGAACCGAAAATCTGGGCCTTCCGCCCCAAGAGGCCCCCAGGAGGCTCCAAGAGGCGACCAGGAGGCCCCAAGAAGCCCCAAGAGGCCCCCATGTGACCCCAAGAGGCCCCCCAGAGGCCCAACAGAAGCTCCAAGAGGACCCAAAACGGCCCCAATAGGCGTCCAAACTGTCTCCAAGGTCTTCAAAAGGCCACCGAGAGGTCTCCGACGAGATCCCAACGAACATCCAATAGGCTTCATACCCACAACCCAGGCACGGTGGCGGGATGACCCGAAAGCCATTATATGCCTTTACGCATCGGAACGCAGAGGCAAGCTCCCAAATGCTGCCTCCACCCTGGCAATCTCACTCCGACTCTTCCAGATATTTGGACGCCCGAATCGGGTACTCAACAAATGAGCACGATGCCCAAGAACAGATGATGTCTCCAACCGACAGCTGCCGCTGTTGGGCAAGAGCCACGAGTCTCAAATGAACTACGTCCGCGGCGACACCGACAGCGAGTCCTGCTCAAAACGAACAGACATGCTGTCGGTCTGTGTACCAATTTTAGGGGAACGAAGAATGACATTAGCACAACAACTCGGAGGTCCGCGCGGGTTTCTCGGATTTGCGCTGAACCCCCCTCCCTGGCGCGGAGCGCGCTAGGGGCGGAGGCGCCGTTAGGGGGGTCCCAGCGCAGATCCGAGAAATCCGCGCGGAGCGCCGAAAGCCTAGGCCTATGGCATCCTTCGCTCCCCTGCTTCTGCCTCGAATGGGCCACGTCCGCGGCGACACCGGCAGCGAGTCCTTCTTCAAAGCGCACAGGACATGCAGCCGGTCTGTGCACCCGTCTGTGCGTACACGTCGTTCAATTCTAATCGCGCTCATTTCTAATTGCGCTCGTTTCTAATTGTTCCTGGCACCCTAGTGGCCAGGAAGAGGCCCAGTATAGGACAGTTAGAAATGCAAGGATCTTGGGCCCCCCAAAAAATCTAAGAACCTTCGAAGAACTAGGAATGAAGAAGGTGTACTCGTCTCGATCGTTCCGAAGAGAGCGTCGGCACGCTGGCGGCATCCCTCGGCCCGAAGGCCAGCGGCCGCCGTGGCGAGCCGGGCCCCCCACGACCTCCAGCGACGGAGCAGCTCCTGGCCCAGCCTACGAGCTTGCCAGCGCTCGGACGTCCATCCCCCCCGTGAGTCTTTTGTTTGGTGTCGTGCGTGCACCTCTTAGCGAGATGCTCAGAGGTGCTCCTCGAGGGTCCTCGCCGAGGGGAACAACAACAGGCACACGCCCGAGCGATGCCGAGGGAACACAAGAGCTGCGGTGGCGTGCGCCTCCCAGACCGCAAGGAGGGCTGACGCCGACCTCGGCGACGCGCTCCTGCACGCTGTACAGTCACAGGCCTGACCTAAGGAACGACAAGTAAGGAACGAAGCTCCTTCTTCCCAAGCCCCTTTTTTTTCCAAGCCCATTTATCCAAGGAGTAACGCGTAAGGAACGATACATAAGACATAATGCATACGGGACGATACATAACGCGTACGAGCTTAATAAAACGACCGAGCCCCTTTTGAAAAGTAAGTGTTCCTTGTTCAAGCCGCTCACTGTCGAGCCGCGAGCAGCGCAGGCACGTGGAGCACGACTTCGCAGCGGCGGCTGCGGACACACTTCGACGGTGGAGATGCACGCGCGCGCGCGGCATATGCACGCCACGCCGCCGCACAGCAGAGCGCGCCGCGGGCTCGTGCCGGCAGCGGCGCGTCAAGGCGGCGCCCAGCGCTGCCAGGCTTCGTGCACGCTGTGCACCGCAGATGCTTCGGGGGGAGGGGGGGGCCGCGAGCGGAGGGGGGGGGGGAGGAGGAGAAGGTTCGACAGGGTGCTCGGCCGAGGTCATGCACCTTGGGATGCTCTGCAGCAGCTGCGCCTCAGCGAGGGCGCTCCGAGGGGTGCCCAGATCCTCCAGAGCTGCGGCCCGAACACCAGACCTCCTCGCGTCGTGGAGGAAGCACTGCGAAAGGGCTTTCGTAGCTGGCCCGGGGGAGTCGTCTCGACCTCCGTGGGACAACGCTGACAAACAAAAAAACAGACGTCAGAGGTCTAGAGCTCGCGCCGCCCAAGGGATCCCGCTGCTCTGGAACTCGCCTCCTGAGCCTCTGCCGTCGGCGCTACTGTTCTTCTCATCAGCGCGGTCTGCCGTCCGTCCTGCTCGGGCCCTCCTCCTCTTCTCCGCCAGGCGGCCGCCTCTTTTTCTGCATGTCTCGACGCCAAGGTCCCACTCGCTCCCTCGTTTTCGCGCCTGGAGTCCGCGCTGCATGCCGCAACACCTCCGTAGATTTGCAAGAGAGAAGCCGCATGCCGCGAGACAGCACACGGGGCGCACCTCGCGCAGCCCATCAATCGGTGCGCGCCGTGTCTGGCAGCACGACCGGACGTGCCGGGAAGGAGAACCAGGAACTTCAAATCGATAAACCGGGTCGGGAGATGCGCCGAACATGGCCAAATCGGCACGGAGTCGGAGCCGCATCGGATCGGCTGATGCCAGATGCGAAACAGCGCCATGCCAACATCAGGCCGCAACGGATCGTCGGAATGTGGGAATCGAATGGGGCTGGGTCGGCAGCAGTCGATGCCGATATCGAATCGGATCGATCCGATCGGAATGGATCCTGGCGGGAGAGGAAAAGGAGTATTAGGCTTAGGTCGGGCCTGTCCCCCTACAGGCGGTTTTTGTGTGAAAAATGCAAATACCCCAAACATGCCCCAAAAATAATCAAACATGGTTTTAACAACAATCGTCCCCATTCTATGCTTGACTATTCTTGAATCTTCCCCCTGTAGAGGAATAGGCCCGACTGAATAAGAGGCCTTGATGCAGAGTCACCAAGACGTCATCGCTCGGCGGCGCGCCCGAGGGCGGCAAATGGGGGCGGGCCTTCCAAGAAGGCTCAGACGGCCTCGGCATTCGAAGAAGGTTTCGAAGCCTCCTCCGAAGACAGAGATTGAGCAGGGACCGACCGTCCCGGCATTCCTATAGGCCTACCACGAAATGTGTTTAGAACCCCAACATGTTCTAAAAACGAAAACAAATTCAAGGTTCTCATAACATAAAATCGATGTGTCAAAACAAGACAGCCCCAGCCAGGAACGTTCTAATAACATGTTGTGGAAACCACAAATGGTTCTTAGAACATTCTGTTGGTAGGCCTATAGGCACGCCAGGACGCTTCACCACTGCTTGAAGAGACGACTTCCCAGAAGGCTGGGGGGCTTCAGAGGAGGCCCGCCGCCTTCGGAGAAGCCATGCACTGTCTCGCTTCCCCCCTGGGCGCGCCGCCGACTCTCACAGGAGTGTCGCCAAACTCTTTGGCACCAACCGGCGTAACGCCCCCAGCCGGCAAAAGCGGAGAGCGCCGTTCGCGGCGGCACGGTGCTTCTGGCTTCTATTGTTGCCCCCGGCGGTGTGTCGCGGGGGGGAGGAGGAGCAGGAAGAGGAGGAGGAGGAGGAAGAGGAGAAGGAGGAGAAGGAGGATGGCGAGGGCGAGGACGAGGAGGAGGACGAGGAGGAGGAGGAAGAGGAAGAGGAGAAAGAGGAAAAGGAGGACGAGGAGGAGGAAGGGGAGGAGGAGGAGGAGGAGGAGGAGGAAGAGGAGACGGAGGACGAGGAGGAGGAGGACGAGGAGGAGGACGAGGAGGAGGAGGAGGAGGAGGAGGAAGAGGAGAAGGAGGAGGAGGAAGCCGCGGCCGCAGCGCGAGACGCTGATGGGCTTGAGGCCGCGGCCTGCGGCGCAGCGTCACGGTGATGCCGTCGGCCGCCTCCGCCCGCTAAGACTTGGCTGTATTATTCTGCGTCCTGATCATTTTTATAAGGTGGAGGGCTCAGGGTGAAATCCATTTGGCATTGCAAAAAGGGCCTTGCATTCGAGGATCGAAGGAGTTGTCATCTCTTCTGCGGCGGAAGGCGGCGGAAGGCCGGCGGAAGGTCGGCGGAAATAAAACGAGGCCGCCCCGCTGGCGGAAGCCGGCGGAAACTCTGCGGAAGGCGGCGAAAGTAAAAAATGCGCGCCCGAGAAATGACAACGTTTTTCGGTTCAGGGTTTTCGAAATCGCCCCACATGGACTTTCGCACCTCGGAAATCAATCCGTCTTTTGATTCACTTTATTCAGATTCAATCCTCGAACATCAATCGAAACGGCATTTCAGATTTCACCCTTTGCCCTCCACACAAAACAAATGCTCGGTGCGTCCGGGTGGCCTTCACAGGGGCCCCCCGGAATGTCAACAAAACTGCTCCAGAGGAGGCGCTGGTCCTCGGGGAGGGGTCCAGACCTCTTGGGGAGCTACGCTGCGAGAAAAGAGCGACGTCGTCGGACTATTGGAAGGGTGTCCCCAGGACCTCCTGGGAGGCCCCGAGGCTCTCCAGAGCCCCCTTCGCGACGCCCACAGGGCCTCAGTGGCTCCAAAACGGCGCGACGAGCTGGAGACGCCTCGCGCCACCGAGGCTGCTGGCTGCTCCCCATCTGCGTCGGCGAGCAGTGGCGACCCCTACGCGGGCCCTGGAGCAAAAATGTCGCTCTTCGACTCGTTGGTAACGCTGAAGTTGCAGTCGTGCCCGACCGAGGTGGCGTACGCTGCGAGGAAGTTGAGCTGCGCGAAGATGTTCGTCACGTCCGATGCGCACTCCGCACCCACGTTGCCAAGGGGCGGGTCGCAGTCCGAGGCCGCCGCGGCGAAGCTGGTTGCGGTCCAGGACGCGCAGCCGATGATCGACAACATGTCCACGGCGCACGCGCGTGGGTTGGGGCAGTCCTCCGTCGCACGGGCAATGGTGGTGCCCATCTGCATCAGGAGGGCGCCGGCCATGATGACGTCGAAGACGCACGAGCCGATCGACCAGCCCGTCTCGATCCGCCGACACCTCGCAGTGGACTGGGCGTGCGAAGATATTGCGCTGCCCCAGGCCAGACGGCCCCTGGCAATAACCGCATATGCAAAAGCAAAAACGGGAAACTCATCAACAATGCCGCCGACCGTCCAAAGCCACACAATTGCGCAATTCTCTCAGGCGCTTTTGTACACAAGAGGGTTCCGAAAGCGTTCAAGGGGTCCTCGATGGGGGAAGCGAAGGAATAGAGATAGACCTAAGGACATAGTGCTGGGGATACAGGGGTAAGGATATAAGGATAGATGTAGGGATCGGGATAGGGGATACATGTCAGGATTAGGGGGAGCAGGGGATAGGGATAGAGGGCTACGGGATGAAGAGATAGGGATGTTGGGATAGGCATCGGGATGCAGGCGTCGGCAATCAATAGCGAACACGCCTGCAAGATTCATTTGCCATTGCTCCCCACTCACACAAGAGGATCAACATTGGCTGTGGCTCTGATGAGCTACACTTCGACCGCACTTTTCCCCGCGCGTGCCGACGGAGCATTTTTGGGGAGGGGCGGGTCCACGAATCGTTTGCCTTTGCAAACGGGCCCCTGCTCTCGGCAGACGGACGTAGTGCGACAGAGGGACCCCTGTTCTCGGCAGAGCCCCCTTTATGCAGAGGGGCCCCAGAATATTGGGCGTAGTGCGACGGAGGGATGGTCTGGGTCATTCTCTGCTTCATCCCGCTGCAACCTCTGTGGCCACGGGGAAGGGGCGGCGGCGGACTTGCAGGAACCGCCCGCCCCAAGTAAGATCATCGGGGGAACACTACAGCCGAACATCTGATCAACAGAACGAGTTATCCTCTGAGAAAAGTCTGGACCAGCTTCCAAAAAGTATATTGAAACAGGCCTGGGCCAATTCCTGTTGTGGACGCTGGAGGGGCGAACGTGCTCAAGAAAGTGGGCCAGCTTTCCGACAACTTGGTGAAGGACCGCTGGCCCAGCTGTTCGGGAGGACGTTTCTTAATCAGATGCTTCGCGACTTAGATCCCCTGATGCTGAACCCACCAGCAAAAAGCAAAGCAACAACACGAACACACAAAAACGAAGTGCACAACAAAAAGCAATGTCCAAGTAAGTGTGCGTTTGGGAAAACACTTTTTTGTTGAACGATGTGTCGTCGCAGACCCCGTCGTGTATTCATGGGGGACACGTGAACCAATATGTTTTCAACGCTGTCATTTCGTGTTTTTTTTTGTTGTGCCGCGTGATCTGGATTTGTAATGTGCTTTGGCACCGCATTTGTGTTCATGCATCAAATGGCAAAGGACCTTGTTTTGTTGTCAGGGAACCACAGCTGTGAGACTTCCAACTGCAATGAAGGGTTCTCTGTTTTCCCCCGGTGGACTGGGTTCTTTCCCGGACAACTGGGTTCTTTCCCGGCGCAGCTTCAGGAAAAAGTCAAGTTCGTGTAGCGTTTCAGCGGGTGTCTCGTGCGCTGGTTTTCCAAAAGACCGATGCCACGGGAATGGTTCGC